TTCAGATTTAGGTGGAGGTACAGCCTAGAGTGAGTGGCTTTTGTTTCCTGGGTGCTGTATAGCAGTGTGGGTCACTGTGTTTCAGGACCTCTCTCAAAGGGTGTACATTGCCTTCTGAGAACGGATGAACTTTTGCCTAATATCTTAAGAGCAGATATTCTGACAATTCAGCAGAGGCTGTTCAGGCTATTGGTTTCTGTCTTTGCTTCAAGGAAAGGACAAAACTGGCTCGTCAAAATAGCTATCCCCTCTCATCCTTTAAAAGTGCTGGCATTAACAAGCTCCGAATCTCTGACTGAGAGCTACTGGGTTTCATGCAAGTAGTTAAAATTTTCCAGAAATCACCAAACAGAATTTTGTAGTATTTTTAGGTTAATTACTATTAATGTAATTCCTAAACCCAGTATGTATGAGGTGTCTTGGATTTTTCAGTCTTTATTTGGCTGCAGGTAATATTTCTGTAGTACTTGGGGAGGGTTTAATAAAAGATTCTTGAACACAACTGAGCCACCAAAATCTAGAAGAAATTAGCAATATTCATCAAGCCTTGTGCCTAAGCAGAGGCAAATCTTTACTTTGGTCAGACAGATATCTTTTTCCACTCAAAAGCTTTAGCATATAACCGTAATTTTGGGATTTGACAGTTGTGTTAATAGAAGTTATTTTTACAGATTGAGGATTTTTCCTTTTGTTTCTTTCCCATCTGAGAAAAAGAGAAAGAGGATATGCATCCTTAATAGCCATTTGTGTAAGCGGGGGCAGAATTTCGTCATTAGACATATAAAATTTTTGAGCATAGATGATGGATGCATGTGCGTGCTGCTGCAAAATGAAAAGTTGTTTTTGTTTAGGTGTGGTTTGTTTCCATATACACTTCTGTTTCACATTCTGGTAATGTGCTCATGTTTAGGGAGTGTTTACAAATCTTGAAGAATCTTGAGGAGGTTTAGAATCAAGTAGTAAATGCTTAGAAAGAGATGTTTCTTCTTAAGAAAGGGTTTGTAGAACTGAAAAAAAAAGAATTTCTTTTTGTTGAGGCTGCTTGTAAGATAATAGTACGTTTTAATATTTCCTTCAAAACTCTTGGTTTGTTTTGTGGGAAAATGAAAACCAAGATTATTTCAAATTTTTCAAATGCTTATTTGTATTTATTTCAAGCTGGATAGATGGTTGTTGGTGGAGGCTCTCTTTCTACTTCTTTTGTCTAAATTTTTACATAAGAATGTGTAGGATCAATACCAAATTGCTACAGGTGTGTTATTGCACACAAGTGTTTGTAATAATCTTACCAAAATATTACTGAAACTGTCTAATGGGATCTAAAAACCTCATGTCTCTTTTTAAAAGAAATGTAGAGTGCATTATCTTTCTTTACCAATGATGCCTCATTTTTCAAGCTTTTAAGATTATCTTGTTATCTGAACTACCTCTAGAATAGCAGTATTAGTAATTGAGCTTTTTAGGAAAATGTAATAGTTCTCAGAAATGGTGGTTGGAATTTTGATTCTTAAATAGTTCATCAGTTAACTTTTTAATTCCTCTGATTATGTTTAACTGAATGAAAAGAAATTTAGACCCTTAAATCCTTCCTTGTTATCAAAACAATTGTGGTTCACATTAAATCACTTAAAGGCTTAAGTGTGGAAAAGGTAGTTATTCTCTCTTTGATTTCTTGCATTTCATAGGTGTAGCTTTCATCAAGTTAGCCCTTTTTGTAGCCAGCTTGTTTGGCTTAAAAAAATTGCTGTGTGTTCTGCCCGACATCTGTGCAGGTGGGAGACATCGCTGCTTTTTGATATTATTACCACTAGACTTTCTGCAGAGAGGTTTGTGTCAGCTGGGTTAGTGTGAGGAATAATAAAGTTTAAGGTGAGCTCATGTAAATCATGTAGGCCATAAATAAAAAGTGCTTAAAGAAACAGTTGAGTTCTCAGTAGTATTCAACAGGGAAACGGTGGCTGACCTACAGCCATGTTACTGCTATCTGATAGGGTTGAAATCTAAGTGAGAGCTAAATTCCAGAAAATAGCTTGTCTTAGTTGGCAGACTGAGGTACGAATTCCCCTTGTAGCATGTTGCAGTAAACCTGGCAGATTTCTTTAAAACATGTTTAAGATTTTTAGTTTGTCTTCTTGCTCGTACGCCTTTGTTTTTTCTGTGGCTTTCTCTGCTTTTTGACTAGAGAGAGAGTACATAATACTTTGATCATGTGGAAGTACTCTCATTCTATAAAGTTTACCTCTCATTTCTGTTTTTGACAAAATGAGGTCTTTCTCAGACTTTGGATAACTTTTTTCCCTGTATCCTCTCCACAGTTTGGTTTCTCCCCCTCCTTTCCAACCCCCAAAGTATGGACACTAGAACTGGATACAGTAGCCTAGTATCAGTTTCATCAATAAAAAATGTATATAAAAGTAGTTAAGCCTTTTTGTCTATTTCCTTAGCGTTGCGTTTGGATTTATCATTGAATTGGCTATTATGCCCAAATAATTTTTTAAACTATTATTCAGTGACTGCCTTTTGGCATATGTTGTAGTTCCGGACTTAGAAGACTGCCTTTGCTTCTGTTAAAGTGAAATTGAAGTGAAATTGATGAAGAACGGGTAAATTTTATCTGTGGTCATCTTGTAGGGGTGGATGGGGTTTTTCCCCTATCTGTTTTTGATTATCATAAAGGTAAGTGGACCCTGCATGTTTACTGGCCTACTGTTTTCCATAAACTAAAATTTGGAAGCTAATTTTTTTAGGGCTTTTTTCGCCTGTTTTCCAATAGAAAGCTGTGAAGGTACCTGGGTAAATTTTATCTATGGTCATCTTGTAGGGGTCATAGATGGGTTTTTTCCCCTATCTGTTTTTGATGATCATAAAGGTAAGTGGACCCTGCATGTTTACTGGCCTACTGTTTTCCATAAACTAAAATTTGGAAGCTAAATTTTTAGGGCTTTTTTCGCCTGTTTTCCAATAGAAAGCTGTGAAGGGACCCTTTTAAGAAACTGATATATGAATTAATATTGCAGGAATCTTGCATGTTTGACTAAATAAAAGTTATTTTCTGAAACCAGCATTGTGGATGTTAATTCTCAATGTAGTGTTAATTCTGTTAATGCCTTTTATATGCTCAGTACCTGTTACCCTGTTTTCTATGGAAAAGGTACTTGAGGTTTAACTCTTTGGGGAGCTTTATCACTGAGGAAAAACCTTTCTTTCAAACCATCCTGCCCTCATGCAGGGATCCATGTCTTGTTTAGAACTGTGTGAAAAGAATCTGATACTCTTTATTCTGCATCAGTAGGGAAGAGTAAGTTGAGATCAACTCTTTTGTTACTTATCCACAAACCGAGAAGCTGCACAAAAGGAGGGCAGAGAGTTTATATCAGCTGAGTGCAGATATGAGTGTGCACATGCTTGTGAAGTTTTGTTTATTTAATTTATGGAAAGTAGAGGCGCTGGTTATTTTTGGTATTGAGATGCAATTTTTTATTATTATAAACTTATAGGAACTGATTTACTCTAGTCCTTTGTGCTTTGTCAGGTGTATGCAGTTAGGTGTATGCTGTCCCACCTTCTGTGCAGATTATATTCTACTCTCCTGCATGAAATGTTCTCCAGATTATAAACTTTCCAAAGGTTTTTTCAAATAGTATCTTTGTCTTTTATGAAGATAATGTGCCATTTGTTTCACCCAGTTTATGTTGCATTATTAGTAAATTCTTTCTTGGGTGTGGGATAAAACTGGGGAGCATAAGGAAATACCTTTCACTTTTATGTTACCAATTTGAGGAAATCTGAATGTCGTCTTCGGTATGTTTGAAGAAAATATCGGAGGAAGCAGTTTTCCTCCATGTATTTAAATTAGTGCTCTTTGTGAATTGGGCTGTGTGAGTCTTGCCCATTTTTTTAATAAGGTGGCAGACAGATTAAAAGCAAATCTGGAGTTGAAGGGTTACATAAAAGACATGTAAAAACTTGTTAGATACAGTGATGGGAGCACAATTGGAAATGCAGCAAACTGAGTTCTGGCATATGTTTTCATTGATTTTCTGCTCTAATTGTCTGCTGTGATGGCAACTGCTACATATCCAATCAGTCTTGTAAAACTTCACCTATCACTGTGGTTCATAATAATGGCAACTGAAAACATGAAATTTTTGTTTAAATTTAAAAAAGATCAGCTCTTGCTTTGGAAATGATCTGTTTGACTCTGTTGCTGTTCTAGAAAAGTACTGTCTGATTTGGTCAAAATGTTTAGATTTAATGCAGAATCTGGATTTCGGGATAACCTGCAATAAGCCAAATAAAGAAGTACAACTATTTGAAATAAAATAATTCATTAACTTGTTAAAGAATAGAGAGCTAGTTGTTAAATGCTGGTAAATATCCAGCGTTTTCATTTAGTTGTCTGTCTTCAGTATTTCAGCGCATGCAGAGCACAGTTTAGAAAAAATACAGGAACAGTACATGCTGGGTGTTATAATTTCTGACATTGTTTTCAATTTAGAATTTATTCTTGACATTAAGAAATAACTGTTCAGCTCCAAAAAGTATTTATCAACTTGTTTGGTATAACTGGTATTATATGAAATCATATATCTTACACAGTACAAAGTTCCCATTGAGTCTAAAAGCTATGTGACAGATACAGAAGTTTCACCTAACACCTTGGGGGTTAATGCTATTTTATTTTGAAATGGGAAGCAGTCCTTTCTTGTTTAAATAAATCTAGCTGTATATGGCTAAAAAAAAAAACGCTTCAGAGGGTTTTTTTCCAGAAACATCTACATTTTTGATTAAAAGGTGCCTTCAAACACAACATCTTTAAGGTACTATAGAGATAAAAGGAGAGTTTAAATGCTGCATACTAGCTAGAATCAAGCATTTTCATTTCTGAACTTGGAAAAAAGGGGAGCATGTCACATTTCTTATTCTTATATTTGTGGATGGCAATCACAAGAAAGGAATGTAAAGGTCTACATAGCTTTTTGAAAGAAACACAAACCAACTTAACTTGACGGGTAGTAATAGGGTAGATTCCAGATTCTATGAGAGAAAGTGGGAAACATGCTTTGAGTGTTTTTGTCGACGTAACTTGAAACCGTGGGGATTTCGTCTTTGTCCGAGTTGTTAGAACCGTCTCCGTGCAGGCTGAAATGTTCAGAGCAATTTGTATTCCAAGCATCAACCAGCTGGTCTTGTTGGTTTTCTCTCTCGATGGTAGTAAGAAAATCTTTTAAAACTTGCTTGAATATGTAGACTATTTCCCAAGGTAAAACATCATTTTCTGCCAAAACTTCACGAAATCTAGAAACAAACAAAAACTGGAATCTAATCATCAGCGTTGAAAAACTCTTCTGTTTCCTCTCTGGTCTTTTGAGGGAAGGGGAAGGAGGAGGAAATGACTACATTCTGGTGTCATTTATTCCTTGCTGCCACATTTCCCCACAAACCTCCCCTCAAAGATTATAAGAGGAAAAGAGCTCTAACAATGCACTGGATGTGGTCCAGCTATTATGAGGATTGAAAGCTATTGTTATTGGATATGCTTGCTTTTTTTTTTTTTTTTTTTGGCCCATCTGGGTAAATTGATTTAAACTGACTTTGCCCTTAGGTATATTCTGGGCTTTAAAAGGCGCATAGGCTTGTTCTGACTATTCTGTGTGTCCCTAGAAAATGTATTTAAAATACAGGCATGGAATTATTCTTCTTTGTAAAATATGAGGGGTGTTTTGGACAGTGAGGCTGGGTTTCTGTGTAACAGTGCATTGCATTAGTGCTTTAATTTGATTTTTGGTTATTGAGTTATTATTTAATAAATACCGAGGATAAATAACAGAGGAAAAACTGAAAGTATTGAGAGGTCATGTGTTTATGCACATGAGACTTCCTTTGTTTTGGGTTAGACCAGGAAAATCCTGATTAAAAACTTCCTTCAAGTACAACATATTAAAGTAAAGATGTAATTTCTAAAACACCTGTAAAAATGCTTTCCAGTTGCTGTTCATTGTTACTTTGGAAGAAAGATCAGAGCCAAATATAAACTTGGATTAAGTAGAAGAAACATCTTTCTAATGACAGAGTAGTCAAAGTTAGAGAAATGTGAAACAATTACCTGCTGAGAACAGTTCCTGTTTGGCAAGGCTGGATTTGTGAACACAGAACTTCGAGCTGCCGTTGCTCAGTAGCTGGAATTGTTGCTTGGGGGTTTTGGTAGTTCTTCAGCCAGTTGTAATCCATGCCGGTCTTTTGGACTTTTTGTTCATTTTCGATCTCTTGCACTAATCTTTCACGCTCTTTCAGGTGCCATTTCAATTCCCTCAGTAGGGTTTTTGTAACTACTTCTGATCCAGGATATCTTGTGGGTTTGTAGGAATCATTTTTTGACCATTTCATCCAGCCAAAAAGTGGCATTTTTTAAGCTGTGAGGGGAGAGAAAAAAAAATTTTCCTTATTTCTGTCTGCTTATTTCCTTAAACCAGACACTGTCCGACTGATGGTATTTATACCTGTAGACATTCTTCTTAGTAGCTGAATGTTTAAAGGAAACTTCCTTAATGATTCTAAAAGTACAGTGTAAGTAGTAGTAACAATAATTGCCAAGCCATAAGTAAATCTGACAAAGCTTGCCTTTTATAATGTTTGTCGTCTGCTTTCTGAGTTAACATAACTATGTGAAGTTTACAGCATTTAAAAGTGCATATCTGTCATCTTGGAAATAATTATTTTTTTTTTATCCTGGTAGTATTTATGGTTTAAAAGCAAGCAAAAAACCCCAAAATCAAAAAACCCCAACAAAACCCCAAATCTCCAAAAATTGACTTAACCCATACATTTAAAAAATGATGAAATTCAGTGCTGAAGTTCAGTGCTGGAACTTTGAGTCCTCTTGTTTTTAAAACTACAATATAAATTTTTATGTTAAATAAATTCTTGTTTATATAACCTGGAAACAAGAATCTGGTGGAATAGGCTTTTTAAATTGCAGTTTGTTACAAATCATGCAGACACAAGCATACTAATAGGAATAAAATAACATAAATTACCTTCGCAGTTTTCTGTGAGCAATGTTGTTTCAGGTGAGTTTGCTTGAAGGTCTCTTATTCTCGCATATCCTGTTTCCAGGCTGTTACTACTGGTGGAAGAAAACAAGGGGTTTTTCTTTTTTTCTTTTTTCTTTTTTTTTTTTTCATTTACTCAAACTGTGCTTTGAAAAATGGTTTTCTGTACCGAATATGACAGTTTAAGTTTTTCTGCTTTTAAGGTTCTTTTTTATCCTCTGTACCAGAGAGGAGCAGTAATCCATTTAACCTAACATGGTCTCTCAAATACTTTCTACAAGTCCATTAAGATCTCCTACCTTTGAATTGAGTTCTGCCGATGGCAGCAATTTAAAAGAAGATGGTAACAATTTCAAATGCTTGTTGCTAAATCCATCCGAAGGTATTGTTGGTAGTGAGATGAATAATGATAGTCTGAAGCAACTACAGACGTGCTTCTAGCTAAAGTTAAGGCTGTCGTATGATGTGATGCTTGGCTGTGCATAGCTGTAGGTCACAGTTTAGAGCTGTATTTTTATGCCTGTAGAGTGCTAAAAATAACTACATTGCTTTTATCATCAAACTAGACTTTCGGGCCATTGAGATGCTGGAAGACTTTTCTCCCATTAGAGGGGGATCAGGCTGTTCTACTGTCATTTTTAAACAGCTAAGGATAGTCTTTCTCTAGTAAAGATCATCTAAAGCCTTTGTTAAGTGAGTGTTGACAAAAACGAGCTATTTGACAGTTGCTCAGGATTTTGTTGCTATATTAAATACTTCTTGCTATTAAATACTTCCAGATGAATTTCATCAATCTCACGGTACGACACTTTTTCATTACTTTGCATAGCTCTTAGCATTTTTAATTAACATTTTAAATGTGTTTAAAGAAGCCAGGCTGTAACACCTATGGTATGCTATGAAAGACACATTAATCTAATTAAAGGAACAGAATGAAAAAGAGATGCAAATTGAGGTCAAACTGATCTAAAAAGCCCAGAATTGTTAAGTCTTACCATAGACTTTGCTTCTCTCTCAACTGGCTGTCAGTTGCCTGCTCCTTCTTTCCTTGATGAGTATTTTGAGTATATCCATTTTTAAGATTCATTTTCAGGGATGGCCTTGTGCACACTAAAGGTCGCTGAAGCAGCCATTTTCCGTTCCAGTTATCTGGTCTCTTCCTATTAATCTAAACAGTAGCCATGGTATATGAAATGCTTTCTCTTCTGCTCTTCCTTCTTCTAATGACTGTCTTTGCTCCTGTAAGTATTTTTCATTCCTACTTTTTTTGCCTCCACTGGCGTGTTGGACTGTTGGGAGAACAAGGGTTCTGTAAATTTGTTCTAGATGTCATACAACATAAAGGATGACGTGTGTGGCCGTTATTAAAGCTGATATTACTTATACATTGGAAAAATTCAAATGTCAGTGTTAATCCTCTTCAACTGGAAGGTTTTCACATTGCATTGTATGTGGTACTATGAAAAAGGAAGGGAGCTAGGTTTATGATGACAGAAGTGTCCTGACAGATTTTCAGATGAAATTAAAACACCCTTTGCCACCTCCTTTACAGCACAGTTAACATGTCATCACTTTTTTCCCACCGAATCAAATCAGAAAGTAAACTGCTGTACAGTATGAAGCCATTGTAGTGTCTTTGCAAATTAAGGAGATGCATACTGGAAGGTGTACAAATTAATTAAATGTGAAATGTACAACAGTTTGGTTTGGTTTTTTCTTTTACCTAATCTTTGGTCGCGTGATCAAATAATTTTCTGAGGCAGGACACTAATCTTTTTCTTTCTGTTGGGAGGAGAACATTTAAGCTGAAAATTTGTATTGCTTGTAGTTTTGTCTGTGCTTCAGATCTGTATTCAGGAAGAGATGACTGCTCGTGTGAGGCTGGTGTTGGGAACTAGAACTTCAACATAGAGCAGTATTTTATGCAGTTGCTTGTCAGTGGTTAATCCTGGAAACTTTGGGGAGAGTTACAGTTCCATCCAACTATGCCTAAATATACTCATGGTTCTGCAGTGCTGTGTCAGGATGAAAGTTAGGGCTTGACTTTGGCTGATAGTGGGTCTGTTCCCTGTAGGCATTACTGAGTTTGTCTTTATTTGTAACTAGACTTATTGTTATGATTTATGTTAACTGGGGGGATGGGGAGGCTATATTTTTATTCCCGTCATTAATTTTTAGGCAGTTGCTAAAATTACAGTAATAAAATTACCAATGGTATGAAGTCTTTACTACCTTTAGGTTCTTGCCTTTTTTTTATTTTTCCTCTTTTTTAATGTTCTCTCCTCAACATTCATCTGGCAACCTTGCATCTTCCTTTGGTCTGTAAATTTTTGTAACTTGGAGGTGCTGGGTTTTTAAAAGTAATTTATGGTCTTAAGCTTCTGAATCTCTCTTATCTTTGGCGCTTCATCTCATTACTCACTTCTGTAAATTTTCTAGAAGTGTCAGTCCCAGCACTTTTGCTTTCTTACTGTAGCATACCGAAACAGTGTTTTCATAGTTTTAATATCCCTATTCTGATTTTTTTCTTTGCTGGTATTAGTGACTAAAACACAATGGTATATTTGCATGAGACCATAACATTAGTGTTATAATGATGAGTAATTTTTGCCTTTTTTAATAAACCATAATTTATTCTGCCACTGCAGCAGAGCACTTGTTTGCTAATTGATATTTTTCCTGTAAGTTAACCCTAATTGTGTGTGTAATATAAAATGTAAATTGAAGAGCCTTTGAACTTTTTTAAACTTTCCTTCAACGTTACTTTGTTTTCCTAATTTTTGAGGCAAGGAATGTAATGAATTCCTAAAACTTCTGTTTACTTCTATACCTTAGTAATTTTCTTTGAAATATCTCCTCTTATTTAGGTAAAACTGGGTGTATTTTCACATAAACATTTCTTATGCTTTCTCTTAAGTTAACTATTCATTTTTCTGTAGCATATTTTAGCCTTGTTTTCTGATGCTGTTGTCCAGTTGAACTGAGGGAGCATCAAGAGTCGCTGGAGCCAAAGTGCAGATTTCCTTTTATAAATCAATTCAGACAATTTTAGTGGTCTTTCCTTTCTTGCTATGGCAGGTCCAGGTTGATCAGTGAAGAGCCAACACAATAGCCTTACAAGAGCACATGCTAATTGAAAATTGATTGGGTAAATAATTGATAATAAATTGATTGGGTAAGTAATAAGGGTGGCAGCCAGTAGATAAAGCGGGATCTCTTCCCTTGCATCCCTGTGTAAGACATGCAGGTTTGTTTGGTTTTTTTAAATGGCTAGGTACAGAACAGACTTTTAAAAAACCTTGGTGATATTTTCATCCTGTAGACTTCTTGGTACCAAAAAAATGTATTCCAAATTGTCAATGTCTTCCTCTTTCTCCCATAATTGTTATTCTACAGTCAGTCGCAAGTAAATGGGGGGAAAATACAGATGGGGGAAACATCAAACAGATTTACTTCTTGAATTAATTGCCGATTTTACCAGTTTACAAAGGCATTTCTCACTTAGGCAGTTGGCTGGGAGACTGCATAACCTGGTTGTGGAGATGTTGGAGGAGGGGAGGAGAAAAGAAGAACTTCTTGTTTTTCCTCTTTCGTAAGAGAGGAACTAGCAACTCCATAAGCAGTAACTAAATGATTGTATTACACTATGTGTATGGTTTCCACAGATTACTCTAGCTGTGTAATGTAAAGACTCCTGTACTTCTTGGAAGCCTTTTTGTGAAACAACAATAGTAACGGAGGCCTGTGGAGAAGCTCTGATTGCATGGCCATGCAGCTAGAGGTATCGACTTGTGTCTCCTCTGCCTTCAGACCACATGAAGAATAAATGCTTCACCTTAAGAGTGGTCAATTAGAGCTGGGCGATCTAAAATAGAAGTTTGCATGGCAGAGCTCATGTGTGAGGAGGTTGTTAAACTTTTCTATCCTTACAGGTGAGTGAAGACAAGCACACATGGAATGATGGAGCAATCTAAATGCATCTCTGCAGTAGTGACTCTGCTTTGCTGTGGGCAGGATTTCTTATGGGATTGGGTGATTATATTTGTCTTCCCCATGGCTTTTACCTGTGCTGCTTTCATGACGTTTGGCTTACAAATACCGAAGTGAGGAATCATTGGGGTAGCTTAACTTACTTTCCCATAGTTATTTGAGTATACAAACTAAGCATAATTTACATGAAATTACTCTAGAATAGATGAATATGGAGGTTCCCTGCTGGCTTTGGTAAGCTTAGATGCACCCTCTAATTTAGAAACTGATCTTCATAATGACTGACTCTGGATCACCAGTGAGCATAACGAGCATGCCCTAGTGCATGTGGCAGAGCAGTTTCAACTGGGGCCATGTGCTCTGTTTATTCTATTATTTTCTTTCACCCTTAAAATAAATTAAATATGAGGCACTGTGCCATTTAGTGCTTGATTCATTCTGGTTAGTAGGAGGCATATTTAGGGAGTCTGTTACTAGGTCTTACTTGATTTGAGGGGAAAGGAGTGTCAATCTGGTGTGGTATTAGTACGTGTCATCTTTAAAGAGTTCTTCTGAAGACAGTGCTGCATCCTTGGTGGCAGTTACGTTCTGGGTATGTTTTGTCCTGAAGAGCTGTATCTAAACCTGGTGCTTGCTGTGAGAACCCTCCGTTTCAAAGTGGTTTTATTCAGCCATGTGTGTGGCTTGGTGTGAAGGCGTGGAGGTCCAGTTCACGGTTCTGATCTTTAAGCTGAAAGTGGCTGGTACTTAAAATGCCTCATCTGTTCTAGCGGTTCCTCTTTTGCCTCTTTCTGTTTAACATCACCATTGTGAGGGCGGAACTTGGCGATTAAGATACTCTGGAATCAATTAACTGGTGTGAGGCTGCAAAGATTTAGCATTTACTTACGTTAGAAATATTGATTGCTTTTATAGTTCTTCAGGGTTAAAACCTCTGAATCTCTCCTTGTTAATACTCTTACAGATCTCTGTGTTACCAACTAGGAGCCCTCAGCTCTATGTTGAAACCACAGAACAACTACAGAGTAAGAAATTACATAGGTTTGTGATGTAAGTACAACAGACAACGCAGGGATTTAAATAG